TCTAATTTATATTTATTGATAGTTAAAGATATTTAGCATTTTATGCTAGAAGTTAGAACTGATATGGAATATATAAAAAATCGGAAAAATAATATATAGATGAGGTCTTAAAATTTCTTTCATTTCATATTCATATAAAAAACTGTATTGATAAGGCAGTCATTGTGGTATATAAAACTGAACTTTGTAAATTCATAAGTTCTAACCCTTAAATATATTTTATATTTATATGTAATATATATTACTATGATTAACAATTTTTTTCGCGTATTTTTACTAGTCTAATCCGAAAGCTCTTAGCTAAGTTCATATAAAACTCTTGATCATAAATTTAGATCTGTACGTGCTTATAATAAGCAGTTATATGAGTACCCCATGCCGCCTCTAATCAGGTGTTAGGTCATAATTCGAGCATAGCGATAAGAGCCGAAACACGAATACGTTAGCCTTGACCCTTGAGCTTGACTTCTTATCGCAAGCAGGAACTCATATAACCATCGTACAAACTTTCCCTGAGTGACAAAAAAAAAAAAAAAAAAAAAATTGAAATTTGTGTTTATTTAAACTAATGGCTTCTTTAATTCGATTACAGACAAATGGCCGCGAATCCGAACGAAGCACTTTTCAATCGCCCCGGCCCGAATCGCCTGAGGCAATCGGAGGTCTATCGCACCACCGATCCCGAAGAGGCCGTCAAGATACGCATGCAGAAGGAGGGTCTCGGCGCCGAGGAACCCATCTCCATACCCGGCCTACTGAAGCGCACCGTCAACAATTTTCCCGACTATCCGGCTCTGCGCTTCAAGAACGGCAAAAATGGCTACACCACAGTTACCTATAAGTGAGTTAAACGAGAGTTAATGGAAGATTTTAAATAGAGATGTGTTAGAGATGAGCTACAGATAATACCGATATGTGCTGAATGGGACATATGAACTCACGACTATATAAATTCGAGGCAATGTTATGTAAATTGTAGTTCATGACCTAACACAAACTTGTGCAATTCAGCCTGAATTAAAACGATTTATTCAGTAAAGTTAACTTAAGCTCACACTTCTCAAAAAGTAATTTGTATAAAAAACATTAAGCGTGCAACCTTTTATTCGACCTACGTACTACCCTTTCATATAGTTCAAAAGCGAGGCAAGCTAATGCATTCTAACTTCATACAACCAGACACGAAACAAGCAACGAATTGAGCCAAAAAGAATTTAGATCTCAATAAGATTTAAGAAATCGTAAAATATATTTTGTGAGCCTAGAAAATTATATTTATATACGCCTCAGCATGACCAAACGTGATGCAATACTTATATGAATAAAACAAGCTCCAATAATTTTTTTTTATCAGGCTTCCGCCTAAGAGAACTTGAGCTGCAACTATTCAACACAAACTACTCAAGAAAAATATCCATATCGCCCGCCAAATCATTCTCTTTTATAGTTTCATACTCAACACGAATTTATCTCAATTAGGCACGACGTAAGACGCAATAGTACGCAATGCTCACAATCGAAATATTTCTATGAATATATGTATGATCATATATACTATTCTGTTTATGAAAATAGTAGTGATGCTCAGTATATACACTAAACAACATATATACACATATATTATACATGTATATCATTATATACATATATTGTGTTTTTAATTTTGAATAGTTTTTCTACGAGTATTTATAGACTTTATATTCAGCCAGAGAATAAATATGGCACAAAACGGTGCGAGTCGATCAATCACAATTGAGCTGAATGTAAAATGAAAACGAAACAAGAACATATAAATCAATATACCCGCGACGATCAATACAGGTAATAGATAGATACAGATCAATAGGCCGCAAACCAATATGTAAACAAGAATAATATTAAGAACTGGAAAAACATAAATAGATACACCTAGGACGAAATGCGTTTATATCTATATATAATTTCAAGCACTTCCTAGTAGAAACTAAAATGATATTCTTATATTCACTATTAAAAATTTATATATATTTTGATTGGCTTTTATTTAAGCTATTCTAATCAATCATAAAAATAAGTTTATGAAACTAATCTTAAACAACTCTCTACGTATTCATGATAATATAATAGCCCCTCAATAGACCTCCTTAGGATAGCCTCCTTAAGACTCTCTTTGATAGTCATTCGTATATATATTGTAGATACCATCATAGGCTCGTGCGTGAGCTAATACTTGGGTTCGTGCTTGGACTCGCGTTCATGCTCCACTCAATTCATCTACGGTTCGCTCATCTCTCCTAGCAAGCAATTTCCTTCGATTAGCGTGCTTCGTAATCAAATTGGTTGGCCGCAAATTAAATTGATTTACAAAAAAAAAAAAGCAAGTCTCAACTCCCAATCCCATTTTTCACAGGCAATACGAACAGAAGGTGCACCAGACGGCGAAGGCTTTCATTAAGCTGGGCCTGCAGGAGCATCATTCGGTGGGCGTGTTGGCTTTTAACTGCGCCGAATGGTTCTACTCGGCAATGGGCGCCATTCACGCCCGCGGCATCATTGCCGGCATTTATACCACCAACTCGGCAGAGGCTGTGCAGCATGTGCTGGAGAATTCGCGTGCCCAAATTGTTGTCGTGGACGATGCCAAGCAAATGGACAAAATTCATTCGATACGCGACAAATTGCCCAATCTGAAGGCAGCCGTACAGATCCAGGAACCCTATGCGCCCTATCTGAAAAAGGAGGATGGCTACTATAGGGTAAATATAAATATAT